TATATAATGAGCCACACTGAAAAAAAGAGATTTATACCACCAAAGGTGTCAGTGAAGGTCAAGATACAGCTAAGAAAGATTAAAAAAAGAAAGCCAGTTAATTACGTAAGAAAAACATGTTAACTGACGTTTTAAACTTACCAAGAGTCGAAGAAGTTACAATCTCTGAAGGCAATCTACTCGAAAGTCTACAAATAGCAGTAAAAAAGCATTTAGAAAACTGACTTGTAGACGATCGACTTACATCAAATGTCATTGAATTGAGGGTCATAGAACTTCTGGTAAATCTTGATAAAAATCAGTTAAAAACTTATAGAGGGGATGTGAATTATCGGTTACAATCTTGTATAAGATTGAAAGAGCCCCAATAACTCTACGATGTCCAATGTCCAAATTTAAGTCAGACAGAAGAAATTTAATGGAATCAAAAGAACGATCAAGCAGTCTTAAGTGTGAGTCTGCAGCAGATAACCACACAGGAGAACAATACTCAAACTGAGGCAGAATAAAAGAAAAGAAGCACCTACGTGTAATGCTGTCATCTTCATAGATGTTCTTGCACTTGCGAATGATGCCTAACTTTGATGAAATTGCCCGGGCCAAATCCCTGATATGCAATTCAAATGAAAAGCGTTTTATTAAGCAGGGGAGCGCTTGGCAAGAATTCTTGCCAAGCGCTGTACCGTTCCCTGCTTAAAACGCTTTCCAAGGCAGGCAGGCCCTCTTCAGTGTTGCCAGACATGTGGAAGTCTTTTTATAAAGTACAAATCATAACAGTCCTTGATGAGCATAGAAATATCAAAATAACACACGAAATATACATACTTGGGTTTTAAAAGCAATATTCCCACCAACAATCTCGGAAAGAGATAACTTATGCACAAGTCGAGGGTGGAGTTTATTTCACCTGTGGTTGGTAACACTTTGAGCGCGCAATTCACTACAACTGACAAACTAGCGCCGCATCAAGATGGCAGAGAAGTAAATAAATCTACCCAAACATCTTAACAAAGCGCTATATTTTCTCCTATATTCATATAAAGTGCCTCTAAAACAATGACACACTCTTCCGATTGACAGCCCTTTCATTCTGACGCGTTATCAAAACAAATGAATATTCCTTAATTAAAATGTAGGCCTACCCATTCCCATATATCCGATTTTATGAGGTTAAATATAACAAATCATCGAATATAATATATCAACAGAAGAATGTTGCTAGAATTTCTCAGACTTTTTCACTTGAAATATTCTTTATTTCATAAAATAGCTGATATATTCTCGATTTAGAAAGACGAGAAGTTTAACAATATGAGTAAACTTGTTCGTCTTATAATAATTTATTATTCATAAGTAAAACTTTTTATTCCCATAATCTCCATTATCTCCTTTCGTTTTCAGTTAATTTCAATTTCTTTGAATATGATTTTTAAAAAAATATAGAATCAGATACCGGGAAAAAATTATTTATCTGATAAGATATTAAGCGGAGTTCCTGGCCAACGCCCGCATTCGAAGGATCGTGACCAGTACGCGACCGACGCCGTTGCCATGGTGACGGTACACCGCTTGACTTAGCAAGCGCAAGTCAAGCCATCTACGGAGGTCGCTTGAGAAAGCAAGCGAAATGCTTGAGTTCGCAAGAAAAACGCTTGAGATTTCAGGCAAGAACTTTCCCTGCTTAAAACGCTTTAAGACTCCATTAATCAGCAGATTTGGATGCTGAAGCAACTGCGTTCGAGACCGACTCACAATAATTTCTTTAGACTTAGTAGGATTTAATTTCATTCCCCACCGAGAGCACCACGATTGAATCATTATCAGGTCTACAGGTAATGCCAGACCACATATCGCTTGTATATAATATAAGGAGTAAAGGGCCAAGAACACTACCCTGAGGAACCCCAAAAGACACACGAGAATACGAGCTAAAACTACCATCAACATGAACACGCTGCTGCCTACCAGTTAAAAATTCAGTTAAAATACTTAAAACTATACCACCTACACTAAAAGACTGTAACTTAAAAATTAAACCCTTCTGATTAAGTGTTAAATGCTGCACTAAAATCCAGCGAGACAAGTCTTGACTCATGACCGTTATCTAAAGCAGACTGCATTTCATGCACCAACATAAGTAGTGCATCATTGCATCCGAGTCCCTTTCTAAAACCAAACTGAGTTTCTGGAAGAAACGGTCTCAAATGTACAGAAAGACGTTTGACCAGCAAGCGTTCAAAAACCATGGATAAAATTGGTGTAATTGAAATGGGCCTATAATCAGTAGGTGAAAACTGTAGTGGGCCCTTGGGAATAGGGGTAATATTACCAAAGCGCCAGCAATCTGGAAATGACCCTTTACGAACTAAAAGGCGTAAGATTACGGCTAATTTAGGAGCTAATTGGCCATTTAGTCTTTTTAAAATCAAAGGAAACAAGCCATTAGGGTCTACACCACATTCATCTAGTTCAGATTACAGATACTTAATTTCAGAGGACT